TTGATTTTATTGGGTTTGATGATGTTTGGTAGGTGATGAATTTGATTAATTCATGTGTTATAGTTCTAGATGCTCAAGTATTCGTCACTTTACCAATATTTATCCTACCCTAACCAAAGAGCCTACATTATAACCAAATGAAAAGTTCTTTTGATTCATAAATTGCATGCACAAATAAGTGGTGGAGATAGTAGACGATTTGCAAGCTTATGGTAATTCTTCAACATTGAATTGATTAGAGGTATTATTTCCCTATACACTTTGGAGAGTGAGAGTGTACACTTATCCGGTGAGGTTTGTGGATTGGAAGTATTGACCATGATTTTGATGAAGCATTTTTTATGTTTAAAAATTCCGGATCTTAGTTATGTTATTTGTCCGATACCTATAGAGAATGTGTATGATTGACTTTGAGAGTGTGATTGTTTTTACTTGTGTGTTGATAGGAGTTTGATGCATTGATCGGGACTATCAATGGTTTAAGTTTGGGGGTTTGTTCATGTGTGATTTTACACCATATTTATATAGTATCTAGAGCTTTTTCATTTCATTATTGGTGTATAAATTGCATTATTGTGCTTTTAATCTATTCTTGTTGGAAAGGTATTACACGTGCTTGTTTTGTAGATATTTTCAATTTATTTGTAGAGCTTTTGGCGTTGGAGGCGCATGGTGAGTACCTAGGAACCCCGGGATGATGAAAGATTGATGTACGGATGAAAAGAATGGAAGAAACGAGTGAACAAGTGAAAAATAGATTGCAGATTTGTGCACCGGCAGTGACACGGACACCGTGCCCATGTCCGTGGCCGTGTCACCTCAATAAAAGGATTTTGAAGCCCAGGGACCTGATGTAACACCCCGCTTTAACATGAAAATTAGAGTATGGTTTTCGCAAGTTTTTCGAACTAAAATCATTTAAATTGCGAAATACTGATTCGGAGTGCTACCATAATACATGACTTACTTTTAAATCAGACTGGTTTTACGAAAACGGACTCACAATCTGCTGACTGGTCAAAAGGGCTAAGTTTGACAAAAAGTGAAACGTCAGCGGAAACTGTAGTGGTAAAACATGATAACAGTGCTGCGATCATGTAAATAAGTCTCCGGGAGATAGCAGCAGCACTGCTATGCTAAATTCAAACTGTACAAAACGTAATTTAAACTTTATAAGCATAACTCCCTTATAATTTAAACTTTATAAGCATAATCCTGAACCGATCGCCATCTCACACCTCCGGTCCGACTTCATGACCTGAAAAACATGATAAAAGTGGGGCTTGAGCACTAAAGTCCACTGTGCTCCGTAGGAACTCATACTAAAGTAAACAGTGAAAATAATTACAATAACATGATCCTGGCATATATAACTGAACTGAACTGAAACTGGTACTGAATAATCATGATCTGATACTGATGGTGAGAAAATCATCACCTGCCTGATACTTGAACACCTGCAAGCATAAATGTCGGACACCATGTGCACACTCTAGTGGGCAGACTAAGGCCACTAGAACCCAGAATGGACTGGCGACCATTCTAAGCGGATACTGATAATACATACCTCAAACATGGTAGAGTAATTATAATCAATGTAATACCCAGTCTGAGTCCCCACCTGATCCGTCTGAATAATAAAGTAGTGCTGATATTTGTATATTGATCAAACTGAAAAATAAAATAAACAATTACTAAATACTATGCTCAGACTGATAAAAATAACTTTTTAATATGCTAAGATGCTCTATTAAACTTAAACATGATATTTGAATTTAATCGGTATAACCGAAACCGACTAAAATTGGAACTGAACTGACATGAATTTACTGAACTAGACTGGACCCAGAATTTAACTGAAATTGGAACTTAAAACATGAACCGGGATTTAAATATTAAAGAATGGACCGAACCGGT